CCCGCCGCCCGCATCCGTGCAGCACAGCACGCACCCCGCCGCCCGCATCCGTGCAGCACAGCACAGCGTGTCCTCTGGTTCTCAATAAAACGTCTGATAAACGACTGCCCTGCACTGTGTGGTGCACTCACGTAACAGAGTTCACACCTGGGCTGAAATAGCCTACAAAACAGATGAGCCTTAGGGAGCCAGCCCACGTGCGGGCGAGCACGTACAGTGCGATTGAAACTTCGTGGCCCATGCGCAGAAGTCAGTATTTTGTGGAGGAGCCGGTATTTTGTGGAAGAGCCACACTCAAGGGGCCAAAGAACCGCATGTGGCTCACGAGCCGCATGTGGCCTAGGACATCACAGACTTGAGGGCCGCGGCTTAGCTTAAACTTTCCATCCCTCTTTAAAATATGTAAATTTTAAGTGACCTGGAAGGAAATACACTGGGTGGCAGTGGCCACCCCTTATAGAAGCTCATACCGTTTATGACTAAACAGAGACATAAAACCTCATGCATCACTGAAAGTGTTCTGTATGACGGGAGAACAAACACCCGATGCCCAATAAATGCCGCCCACCACGCCGGTGCCGACAGCGCCCCCTGGTGGCTTCCTGCTGGGCAGTGCTGTCACCTCCACAACAGGCCCCAGCACTGCCTTTCTGGGCGTCTATAGTCGCCTTCAGCCTCACTGGCCACCCCAGTCTTCCTCCCGTCTGCTCAGGCACAGCTTTCTCTCGCCTGTCCCCTAACGACTGTCCCCTAACGATAAACAAGGCTGGTCTGTCACCTAGAGCCGCCGGCCACCTTCAGCCTGCGGCCACCCACCAGCCCATGCCTGTTTCTGTGCAGCCACCGGGCTAATGGGCTTTACATCTGTAAACGGTTGTGGAAACAAGAACAGAGACGCCATCTCACAGACGCGCTGCCGAGAGGGTGTGGGCTGGAGGCTCAGCGTTGCGGACGCCCGGCAGGCCAGCTCGGGGGTCTCACCATCACACCTACCACTTTGTTCTTGGCTCTTTCTTTGTCCAGTTTCAGGAATTCACCGAGGGTCAGCTCCTCGAACTGCTTCTTGACAGAAAGGAAGGCACAGCCCGACGAATGCTTCTTGTGTTCCTCCCTAGGGGAGCGACACAGGAGCGGTCAATGAGGTGGTGGAGGCAGAGGCCACAGCTCGTCGCCACAGCCTCTCACCCCTCCGTCTGCAGACGCCCTGCTCGCTGGAGAGCAGAGTGACGTCCCAAGTAGACGGAACCAGGACTAGGTCCCCGGCCACTTCCCCACGCGGCTCAGCGCAGCGCCTTCCCTCTGTGGACGCCCCCTCCCGCCCCTCCCCGATGGAGTTTACCTGGAGCCCTGAGCAGTTAGTAGGAAGTGCTACGTGAGTCCAGATCCCTCTAAAACCCTCAAGGTGTTTTTTGTTTTGTTAATCCTCACCCGAGACTGCAACAGAGGGATGTGCCTCTGACCGGCATGGAACCTGTGGCCCTTCAGTCTGGGCTGGTGCCCTCTATCCACTGATCCAAACGGGCTCAGGGCCTCTAGGGATGCTGTGAAGCAGCCTCATACCCCGGAATTGTCACATAATCTACTGGTTTGGAATAAGGCCCGCGGGCCAGGCTCTCCAGGGAAGCGCTGGGCCGCGCACCATCACGTCTGCGTGGGGAAGCAGGCGGTGGAGCGCCCAGCACCGAGCCAGAACCCTGCGAACGAACACACAGCCACAGGAAGTCCAGAGGGTCAGCCCACAGTGACGAGGACATGAAAACATCACCGGGAGTAGGAGACCCACTCCCCAGAACACACTGGCCTTTCCCAGGGGCTCCTGGTGTGCCCGCCACGCCATCCCGTCAACACCGGGTCGCGGCCGCAAACACATTCCCTGGCCAACAAGAGAAACAACCGGGCTCCTTCTCTACGGGAAAGGGAAGTGGTGGAAACAGGAGACACTGCGGGGAAGGTGAGCGCGTGCACTGCCCGGCAGAAGACACTGCGGGGCCCTGAATGCAGACACAGGGTCCGTCCCCTACAGAGCGAACCCAGCAGGGCCCGGAGCCCCTCTGGAAGGCTGGTTGGTGGTGTGTGAACTGTAGCACAATAAGGCTTGAGGTTTAAAACTGAAACAAGCCCTAGCTGGTTTGGCTCAGTGGACAGAGCGTGGGCCTGTGGACGGAAGGGCTCTGGGTTCGATTCCAGTCAAGGGCACATGCCTGGGTTGCAGGCTTGATTCTCTCTCATCATTGATGCTTCTCTCTCTCTCTCTCTCTCTCTCCCCCTCCCTTCTTCTCTAAAATCAATAAAAACATATTAAAAAAAACAAACTCTTGCCCTAACCGGTTTGGCTCAGTGGCTAGAGCAGCCGTGGGCAAACTACGGCCCGCGGGCAGGATCCGGCCCATTTGAAATGAATAAAACTAAAAAAAAAAAAAAAAGACCATACCCTTTTATTTAATGATGTTTACTTTGAATTTATATTAGTTCACACAAACACTCCATCCATGCTTTTGTTCCGGCCCTCCGGTCCAGTTTAAGAACCCATTGTGGCCCTCGAGTCAAAAAGTTTGCCCACCCCTGGGCTAGAGCGTCAGCCTGCAGACTGAAGGGTCCCGGGTTCAATTCGGGTCAAGGGCATGTACCTTGGTTGCGGGCACATCCCCAGCGGGGGGTGTGCAGGAGGCAGCTGATGGATGTTTCTCTCTCATCGATGTTTCTAACTCTCTATCCCTCTCCCTTCCTCTCTGTAAAAAAATCAATAAGATATATTAAAAAAAACAAACTCTGAAACCAGAAAGGCACCTGGGCACCCCTGGGCACAACAGGAGCTGCTCCCGGGTTCTGTCCAACCTCCAAGGCCTCGGGGACCGACAGGAAGGAGCCTCTTCAACACGCACCGCGGGGCACTGGCCCCATCGGGCTGATGAGGCGGAAGCGGCGGGAGGCGCCAAGGTTCGTCCACTTGCAACAGCTGCTTGGGCGCAAAATGAGGCCGGAACCGCTCCCGCCCCACGCAGACCGGCACTTACAGGGGGTCGTCGTCCGGCTCCCAGCCTTCCAGCTCCTTGAAGCAGAAGAAGCACTGGGCCAGGTCGGGCTCGTTCTCGGTGGGGCAGTGGATGAAGCCGGCCGCGGCCATCTGCAAGGGAAGGCAGGCTCGGACCCAAGGCGCGTGCCCTCCGGCAGCCCAG